CCGCCCTTCTATTTAAGCCACGAATGTGCTGAATCTCCTCCTTTCTTTGTTGTGACATTTCCAGATCTCTGAGAGCTCTCCGGAAACAGCCTGCTCCATTACAACTAGCTGAATTACTGTAATCTTTTCAAATATCACAATCCCCTTCCATTAGCCCAACCTACTCTTAAGATACTGTGGCAGGAGTGTGTAAATACATCTACAGTCACTGCACACAAAGAGACAATAAACATCTATTAGATAAAAAGGCCTAAACAGATCTGAGTGATTAGAGAGGGGGACAAATAAACAGACACACGTTGAAACGCGCATAGCTGCTATTCACAAAAAGAAAAATAAATTATGAGTCCTATTAAAGGTTTTTACACCTGCTTTGGTTAGTTTCCTTCATTTACTGTTTAAGTCATTTACAAACATATTTCCCCATATTGCTTGTGTTTTGCAAATCATTTTGTATAAAGATCTCTGTGCTGTACAGAGAATTCTTCAATTACTTTCTTTTGAGGAATAAGAACTGTTTTTGTTCCTACAATGAAAGTCAATGGGGTCCAAAACAATTGTCTTTTCAAAATATAATATTTTGTGTTCCATAAAGTGATACAAGTTATGAATGACAAGTGGGTGAGTAAATGATTTTCACTTTTTAGTGGACTCTCCCTTTAAGAAATGTATATTTATAGATTACAGATGATCTACACACTAGTTTCACTTTTGTATTTGCTGCTGTGGCCAGAAATATTTCAGCTAAAAATGGCTTGCGCTTTGAACCACCCATATATATTTTATAATCCGACATTTTTCAGCAAAACCAAATATTTAAACAGACTGAGACTCGGTAAGCGGCTGCTAAATGAAGCAGGCATGAAAGCACACTAACTCTGCACTGTCACCGCTGTTTGCACCACATCTTGAAGATAGCTTCAGAGAGCCACGAGCCTTCAGGCCAAAAAAAAAAAAAAAAAGGGGGGGAAAATAGGAGTCATTTTCTCCCATCCTGAACTGACACTTTTTCCCTCTTCTCTCCTCACAGCGGTAGATTATCTTCCAATGATAGCACAGTCCGGGGCCTCAGCGCGGCAAGGCAGACGCTAAATTGGCCTGCCGACACACTCAGCACTTATCATACATGCTAATGGGCCGGCTCGCTGTGGGCAGGCGGCAATCCTGGCTGGGCGGCCGGGGCACACTGAGAGAGGAAGGGTGGGAACGGTAACAGAAATGAGAGCGACAACCTCCACACTGCCCGCAGGAGGCAAGGGCACTGCCAGGGAGGACATGAGCACAGAATTCACATCATTCTGCCGCAGGCACGCATGGGTCTGGTGCGGCATTGCTCTTTACGCGTTAAGGGCAAGGAGGGTACTGACTGAGTACTTGATCGCTTAGTAATGGGCAGCTAAAGGAAAGGATGTGTTCCTGAATATGATGTGACGAGAGATGACTTATGCAGTCCATACTGTTCCAAGGTTGGAAAGGTGATGATTCCCAGAGGGAGAGAGTGAGGCAGTGATAGAGAATCAAAAAGAGAGAGGGAGATAACATGTGCAGTCATATGTCCATGAGAACTCCCAGAGAGAGGGTTTACATGGGGTCAGGATACAGTCACTTCTTCCATGGTGTCAAACAGCCACCAGACTATAAATAACACTTCCTGGGCCGGGACCTAAAATTAGCCTGTTATTGAACGCTCCCTCACGCAGCTGTGGGTCACAATGCTCCAACATCCCACTAGTCGATTAGAGAGACTGGGTACTTATTTATTTTTAGTTTTAAGGGTTTTAAATGGGAGTGCTTTAATTAGCATATTATACGTTAGCTGTTAGCATTTGGCATCGTAAAAGTCATTCCAACTATGCAGTGCACTTTCACATCCCAATAAAAAAAAAAACAGTGTGTGTGTGTGTGTGTGTATATATATATATATATATATATATATATATACACACACACACACAGTATATACATATTCTATAATATTTTTTTTTATTTAGTAACTGAAAAATTTTTTTTGATTTCCATCTATAAAAATATGTATATGATATAAACTCATTAGTATTACAATTCTGTGATGTTTGAAGTTGAAAAGTTGCCACATGACAGGAATGACCCATAATGACCCCTCTAACTACAGTAGAAACTACGGTCACAAAACTTTCCTTTCAGCTCCGGTGCCTCTTCTGAAGGCATTTTCCAATGGACAAACTGCAGGGAGAGTGCTGAAGTCATTCCGCCGCTTTATAGCTGTCCAGGTGATTTCAGCCACTTATCCAACACAGTCGGCTCATGTTCACACAGTATTCCTTCATAACAGACTGCACTGGGGGGGATAAAAGTCTCTGGAATGCCTGATAAAATAGAGAATGTTTGGAATGGGACTTCAGAAATAAGCTCCCACACAGACGTAACAGGATATTATGACTCTTGTGCTGTTCAAAAGGGATGGAAAATGGTCAAAACAACCATTAGGGTCTGTCTATTAATAGTGATTCCCAACCATATCTGCTCAATCTGGAACTAGTCGTGCTGTGCTTTAGTTTTAATTGTTTTCATTGATAAAATAAATCAAGCGATAATATGTGTTCAGCTCGCTAAATGGTTTACTTCTGAAGTGGAATTACATTTCAAATGAATCTCTAAAGAGTTCACTTCAAGGTAATCTCGATCCATCAGAACCTCTTCGTGTGGGATCTAACCTGCCTGCTAGATTCTACGTTCCTGTCTCCAAGCCTGTGGATCAAGGAAATGTCTTCTGAATGTTTAATGTCTGGCTGCATTTCCAGGCCAGATATCAAATAAGTTGATCAGGAAGCGTGGGGTCTGTTGAGACCGCCACCGGTCCAGCTTTCCAGATCCTGGAACCATTTAGGGTCATTTATGGATATCCAGGGTCCTGGCAGCTCGAGAGTGGCCTTACTGGGTCAACAGAGCCTCTCTATAAACAGCTACTGAGCCTGGCTCGCTCTCTGCTCCACAGCCTGGGGTCGAGGGTCACAGATGGTGCCTCTGAAGATGGCGGCTTACCAAGCAGGCAGTCGACGTACAAAGCTGGCATTTCCACAAGCAGAGGGAGATCATTACGTCCGCTGTACAAAATATTCATGATAATAACAATATTACCATGGTCGAATTAGCAAGTCAAATATGCACACAGGCCTGCTAGCAGACAAGGCTTCAGAGACCACTTTGATCTTGTTGGCAAAAGCAACTTGATGATGGCAATTGAAATCAGTAAGAAGAGCAAAAGAGAGCAAAAGGAAGGATGGGTTTCCGCCCAACACGCCTTGACCTTTTTCTTGATTTTTAAGCCTTTCGTTTCCTGCGCACCATCTGAGAAATTATCTGAACTGAGAGACCATGACAAAGCTGTCATTTTAAGTAAATGTTTTCCCTTCTCAACATTTATCTTTTTCTTAAACCTTCGTGACTGATATTAGCTATGCAAGTAATTCTCCAATGGCCCAATTTAAGCCAGCCAGTCGATCAACAGCGAGGTTCCTGCTATGAGACGCTGGGGGAAACGTGTTAAAAGAAGAAAAGAAATTCAGGCTTTCTCTAGACGCTCACTGAATAATGAGAACATTTGATGCAATATCATATAAAAATTAATGGAGAGACAGGAGAGGCTGGTCTCACTGTGTTGTCATGTTTAGAATGGAATACTGGGATACACTGTGTCATCGGCAAGGTTGGAAAAGCTATTTGGAAACTGCAATTGAAACTACTACTACTATAATAGTCTAAACTGTAGACAAGCAATTTAAAAAAAAAAAAAAATTAATCTTTCAAATAGGGTCATATCAATAAAAATGAGCATAAACAACTATAGTAAACACTATATTTAAAATAAAATAAAATAAAAAGTTTAATTTTATTCACAAACAATTCACTCTTTTGGGTGGTTCGTTTTAGTGAATTAAAAACATGTAGCCTGATTACAAAAACAAGTGATTCTAATGAGTCTGTTCTTTAAATGGACAGTTAAAAAAAAGTTACTGAATTACTGTGATGTTTGTTACTGTTTTGAATTTGTCTAAATCAAAGTCCTGTGTCATTTTTCAGCATTAAAGAAAGATATTTTTTCATATATAATAAGCAAAAGGGACACATAACTGAAATGTACCCAAATTAATTAGAATCAAATTAAATCAAGAATTGATAAACACAAAACAAACTGTTTTGGTAACAACTGAGCTACTTCTGAGTCATTCTAATGAATCAATATAGCCAAATTTGGCTAGTTAACTCCCCAACACTGATCATCAACGGCACAAATCAGTACTGAGCTCGATCTCATGGAAAACTCCTGGAGGCTCATTGTTCTCAGTGATTTGTAAGTACAAGTAACTGAACTTAACTGACAGCGCTGACCTTCATTAAAAATCCTGCTAACTGGCTGTCATGTAGAATGACACCGGGGTTGTCCTCATTTCGTGATTCGTCGCGAGCACTGCAAGCTGCATCTGTGGCTTGCCTGCAGAAGCCTCAAGGTCAGGAACCGTGTCCCTCTGCTGTCTTTCATTCTCAAAAGCTTGGCAAGACATGGAGAAATCTAATACGAACCGTAGCAGCAAACATAAAAATCGCAGGACAGGGCATCAGGTACCAACATGCAAGAGGCACCCAGGCTTTGATTTTTAAATCTTCTTTCAATCTTTTGCACCACACACTTTTAACAAGCCCCCAGAATGACTGCCAGATCCTTTCCCAGTCTTCCCTGGATGAGGGAATTGTAATGGGGGAAGAGAGACAGGCCTTTACTCCCAGCCTGGCAGACAGGGATCCAAGACACAATTTCATGGTTTGTGGCTGGTGCACACCAGTGACTCCTCATCCCCTTGAAAGCAGGCTGGTCGGGGATAGGGATGACACCCCACGCGCACACGGCAGCCCTGTCACCCTCACTGTACGCTGCCCATTATTGGCACCCATTCTGCTTCCAGCATAAAATATTAATCCCGGCCCCCGAATTGAAAAATTGCAAAGAGGTGAAAGCAACTCACCATTTTATTATTGATTTCGTGAAAATGAATCTCGCAGACCTTTTCCACCACATCCTCGTTCTCGAAAGTTACAAAGCCGAATCCTGTGAAGAGGGAGAGGATGGGAGAGAGAAAACAGGGGAAGAAAGGAGGGGGGGGGGGACAGCTCATGATTGAAGTGAACCAACACAGAAGCAGTTAAATGAACAGGAAAAAAGCAACAAATATCTGTTGATTGCTATTATCGTATGGAGAAGGCAGAAATGAGCCATTGAGTCGTGCAGCAATCTTCGTTTTATCTGGTCCTAATGCCATGCAAATTATGTATCTAGTACAGAGCAGGAACTCTTTTGCTGTTAAAATGATGAAGTCCTGGGCACTATTAAAATAGCTTTGAGCCTGCTCCTCAGAGATGGAGGAAGCTCAAAGCTGTTTTAATGGGATTTGTAGAGCCAGCCAGCATCTGAATTCCATTACCAAATATTTGATGTTTCTTTGCGAGTTTTTCAATACGTGACACACTATTTTTCCTCATTCCTAAGTGCCTCTACTGAGGATCCATTTTCACCTCACAGAGCACAACAGAGCCACACCATCCATGAGGAACGGGGAACATCCAGTGATTAAAAAAAAGTGCACAAACCCACTGAGACTGAGTCTCAAACTAGATATCAATGTTTGCGAACAGAATACTGATAATTTGTCACACACAATGATGCATGCACATATAAACACGACCAGGGGGCAAGAAAAGATCTGAAACATGGAGGGACACAGTATAAGCTCTAATCAGCTTCGATCATGAATGTTAATCAAGTGACATAAATGCCCAGTAGACACTTGCTATTTTCAACTAAAGTTGAAATTTAATGAAATGTCATGTGGTGTAAACATTAAATAAAAAGAAAAAAATCCTTACAACTTTAATACATTTGGGTGTATGAATAAGCAGTTTTGTTACAATATTTGTAATAATGATGCTACTACAAATAACCTAGTAATTCATATAATACTTTTCCTAATATTACTAATAATATATAAAAAGTCTATTTAATACATAAATGAAAAACATGCACATCATAGCATGCATGCACCTCATCATACAAGAGGTGTATGCAAGTCATTTTTATGTTTGAATAATGCAATAGATATAACAAAACATTTGCAACTAACTACAAGATACTTTCTTTTTTTCACACCATGGCCAAACAAAACTTTTAAAATGGGGGAAAATATATTTTTTCCCCCTATAATTAAAGCAAACTTAGACATTTCTAAAAGTTGCTTCCTCATACAACCACACTCACACACTTAATGTGCTGTGGTTTACAAGCCTTCAAGTAACAGAAACAAAAAGAACAAAAATAGAGCACTTGCCCTGCTGCTTTTAGACAAGGCTTTTGGCTTTTAAGAAAGTGAGAGATAAGTCCTGGGGTCAACAGGTCAAAGAGGTTGACAGCAAGCCCAAAACAGGAAGCCATGGAGCCCCTCTCAACACCAGCCGTGATAAGAGCAGATGAAGAGGTGGGAGGGATGATAAGAGGGCACGGGATAAACAAGAGGTGGCCTCTGGTCCAGTGTCGTGTGACCTCTCAGTGATTATACGTACAGTTTGTTTTGTTTGGGGAAGAAAACACTGGCTGAATGATCTGCTCCCTGACAGTAGAATCCACTCCTCACCCTGCTGGGGTAAACACAGAGGTGGATGGCGTGTTGTTAACGAGTTGACAGAACGCCGTAGCTGTGCTGACTGATGGGGTATTAGCTACGCTGGAACCGCATGAGGGCTTTGTATTGGGGCATGAGGTAATTAAGGGCAATTATTGTATGTACAGGCTTGTAGGGGTGATCTAGGGTCATTGCCACACTGTCATCTTCTCCAGAGTTGGAAGACGGCCAGCAGCCCCTCATTGACCCTCGAGGGTTGACATCATTGACAGGAAGTGAGTTATAGGAGCAGCCGCCCCATGGGAGGATGCTGGAACAGGATTCACAGCCAATTACCTAGTGACCTCTTCGCTCGCAATGGCTTCCTGTACAAGCCTATTAGAGCTTCCTGTGACTGATCAGACCTGATGATTCGCTGCAGGCTGGACCAGGTCCTCCCATTGCTCCACTCCCCTGACTACTCTGCTCCACCTTTTCTAGCACAGATCTGGGGGTGAATGAATGTAGCTGGTTGTACTGTAGAAGTCACTTTTTTTCTTTACTTCATTTGATAGATGAGCTAGTCAGCCCAGAGCCATATTCATATCATTAAATTCTGTCAAGTAGGCCCTCAGTGTCAGCTAATCAGAAAATATTTGATTGGTCTGAACTGAATTGTATACCTCTATAATTCCAATCCTAAATTTCAACTGAATTTAAATTGAGTTAACAAAGAACTGCAATAGAATGATAGATAAAATGATAGAACGACAGAACGATATAGATGGATAGATAGATAGATAGATAGATAGATAGATAGATAGACAGACAGACTTTCAATTTAATTCAACTGAAACTCATAAATCAAAGAGTCTATTTATAGCTTCAGAATTTTGCACAAGCCTGATTAGTCACAGGGCTTGATTACTGCTGCCTGGTGTCCTCTGTTCATTTACAGTACCTTTGTTCTTTGTTAAAAAGGACTCAGCAGGATTCATATAAAGCTATGTTTTGTACAGTCAGGGCAACAATAACCGCATGCAAACAAAGAGTCTGAAATGAAACATTTAAAAGGTGGCATTTGCAATGCTTTTCTACATGGCCAGACGCTGCATGCTAAGCGCAGACTAACTCTTTAAAGAGCGGCCCCGCACATGGAGGAAACATCCCTGGTGATTTCAGCCCAGAGACATTTACATGTGTCTGCAGGCCCCAGGCTGATGGGGCTGCCTTTGAAATCATGAGAGGCAGTTCGTTTTCCATCTCGGGCCTCTGCACCCTTATCAGCCGCACAACGACCAGTTCTGACAACCAACAAATCAGCTGTCAGGAGCAATTTCTCAGCAGCCGCAAGGGAGCTGGCACGCATTGGGTGGTTCAGGGAGCCCGACGGCTGCAGAGGGGAGGGTGAGCGGGTTACAGTACCTGCACCCCAGCAGGAAGCACCTGAAAATGACATTTCCCTGCCAATTGACAAATCTACTATCAATCCCAAAATTCTCACTGCTCAAAAGTGCACAAATGAATATCGAAGAGACTAGGGTCAGATTTAACAAGTACTTAGAGGGGGGGGAAAAATCAGAATTTTCACAACTAAGTTACAAATTGGTTTTAATGTTACATGACAGGACCGACACCATCTGAATCAGCAGGTTCTCTTATTAATTTAATATGTACACTAAAAAAAAACTAAATAAATGTACTCAAAAACTGCATGCAAATTTTACAAACAGTTATAAAGAAATAGCAAGTAACACATTAAATGAGAAATTAGAAAGTAGAACAACTGAAATAGTATTTTCTTCTAAACGTACTCCACTAATATTTGTTTTATTTACAGCTTCAGGTTTTTTTTTTTTTTTACAGTGTAGCAAAACTATTCTTATTTTAAAAAGTGGGGTTGATCAGGATTGGTATATACTAAAATGAAAATTACATTTTGTAAAATAAATAAATACATAAATGATGTTGAGTAACAAAACAAATGTGTGCAAAATTTTCTAGTGTCCATGTTTTCTACAGTGTTTCATCCAACCCCACATAACTGCAAGTTAGATCACCCCAGTAGTGGGGTAAGATGTGCCAGCAGTACTCTCTAACTTTCACAATTTAGAGATAAGTTCAAAACAAAAAAAAGAGGAAAAAAGCAGCAAATAACTGAAGGGAAGAGGTACACAACCGAATCAGATATTATTACGGCCACCTCGTATCCTTTCCAGAGACCAGAGATGGTAAATAGATTGCGTATTGCATATTAAACGATGGGGGGAAATAGCATGCCTACGGACGTTCTCATGAATGCACAGACACGCTTGCATGCGCGCGCACGCAAAATGGCGCGGATGGCGTACCACCTGAATCTGTGATTCGTACGATGGTATGCGAGATCAGATGCTGAATAATATATGACCACAAGATGAGTTCAAGAGCCCAGCACAAATAAAATTAAAATGCTAAATCAATGAGCCTTCCTCTGACCTTTGCTTAAAAAGCCGAGGGTGCCTAGAGCAGTTCGATGTATTTAAAGGGAAGAGGTACACAACCGAATCAGATATTATTACGGCCACCTCGTATCCTTTCCAGAGACCAGAGATGGTAAATAGATTGCGTATTGCATATTAAACGATGGGGGAAATAGCATGCCTACGGACGTTCTCATGAATGCACAGACACGCTTGCATGCGCGCGCATGCAAAATGGCGCGGATGGCGTACCACCTGAATCTGTGATTCGTCCGATGGTATGCGAGATCAGATGCTGAATAATATATGACCACAAGATGAGTTCAGGACGGGCAACGCTAAAACAAGCATAGCACTTAGTATAAACAAAAAGTCCTGTGTGCTGCAAAAATTCAGAACCTCAAAAACTTCTTGGAAAACCTTTATTTGCATGCATAAATCTACATACTGAACTGTGACTCTGAGATGGATGCAAATTCTATTCCGGCTCTATTCCATAATTTCTTGATTGGTTTTTAACAAATTATGGTTTGTGCCACTGCTGCTCTAAACTAACAGTACTGGTGATTACCAAAATCATTTTATAGCTTTATGTATTGGTTAGTCCTCCAATATGCATAAGCTCTTTAGTAACAGTAGTAGGCTATTTCTAATGCTATAATATAATTATTGCTGTTATCTATGAAAGAAAGGCAGAGAGCAGATAGTGTTTTTTTCAGATACCCAATTACAGTCAAAAAGTACATATACAATGCCAGCAAGAATGCAAGCTGTTATGAAGGGCATAGGAGGCAATTTTTTGTTATGTAAATAAATACTATTTAGTTGTTTAAGTTTATTTGCCCAATAAATGACAATAACATTTTTTGATTTAAACAATTTTTTGACAGATTCCTAAAATGTGTTTTCTCTTTATTATGGCAGTGGTCTAATAATTGTTAAGCACTGTATGTTTTCATAACATTCAGTTGGCACGTTAGTTTGAAGGACATTGG